GATACATATTGGCGCCCTTATGCTGTGCAGAAATTTTGAGCTGATTCTGACAAATATTTTTAAAGTTATGAGCATTTTTAAAAATTATTACTGTTGGTTTGTATAATCAACTCAAACTGTATTTGCTGAAAGTGATTATGAATTTTTAAAAAACATTCAAAATTATTATTTCTACTTGCTAGGCGGAGTTATCATGACCGTAATAAAGAATTAAAAGTATTTTTTCCGAAATCAATGGAGGTAAGTACATGTACATGTACTGTACACTTTTAATTATTTTCTTTAGATACACTGGCTTTCTGTTATCAATTCAGTTGTTCTGGTTTGTCTCCTCTTAGGATTTGTGACAATAATTCTGGTGAGATGCAGTGCCACTGTTACATGTACATGTACATGTATCGTGAATTAATTTTTAGCAAATATATTTGTGGCAAAATTTTGACTTTTCATTATACTAAAATTTTGACAACAAGTTGCCAAAATTTTACTCTTTAATTTTATAGCTACATAATAATAGTACACGCACATACATGTACAGTACATGTACATGTATATATTTGTTCTACAATTATTATATTATTATTGCTTGCCCTGTTATCCTACATTTGTAGATGAGGGTCCTTCACAATGATTTTGCCAGATACAATGTTAGTGATGATGATCCTGATGACTTGAGTAAGCAAAACAATTATTTATTTATTTATTATTTTATTTATTTATTATTGATTTTATTTATTTACATTTATTTATTTATTTATTTATGATTCTTCTTCAGGAGATCAAGATAATTACGGTTGGAAGATTATCAGTACTGACGTGTTTAGATTCCCACAGAACAAAGGATTGCTAAGCTCCATAATAGGTTCAGTAGACTTCACAATTAACACACACACACACGCACAGACATGTACATGTACATACATGTAATCTCTTCTCTCTTCTCTTTGCAGGTGTTGGCACTCAGTTTATAACACTCTCTCTTGCTATAATTCTAATGGCCCTGTTAGGATTGTTTAATGTCCACAGGTATGAGAAAATATTATGAAACATGCATGTACATGTACAACTGAAACTCTCATTTACTTCCTCCTTCATTTCTTTCTATCCTTACTCTTTATCTTATGTTGATTTTTGTCCTTTTTTATACATGTACATTGTATCAGGGTTTCCCACAAAGCATGCTACATGTAAGTGAGCTAAACAGCATGAGCTTCATGAGCTGACAGGCACTGCAATACAGTACATGGCATTTGGAGCAACTTTAAAAATTCATAAAAAATCCAAACTTGATTGGAATCAGCTCAAACTTGATATACAACATAAGGACATGTATATGTATCAGGAAAGAATATAAAAATGAAGAATTCTCTCCTTGGGATTTTTGACGAAATTTGGCCTAAGACCCAAGGCTATAGCCTTTGGTCGTTGGCCCGATTTTTGAGCAACTATAAAAATTCATAAAAAATCCAAACTTGATTGGAATCAGCTCAAATTTTCTACGCAACATAAGAACATGTATATACATCAGAAAAAAAATTTAAAATGAAGAATTCTCTTATTGTGATTTTTGACGAAATTCGGCCAAAAACCCAAGGCTATAGCCTTTGGTTGTTGGCCCAATTTTTGAACAACTTTAAAAATTCATAAAAAAATCCAAATTTGATCGGAATCAGCTTAAACTTGATATACAACATAAGGACATGTATATGTATCAGAAAAAAATATAAAAATGAAGAATTCTCTCCTTGTGATTTTTGACAAAATAAGCTGTACCATAGTACAGGGTTTTTAGCCAACTTAGCAATCCAGTGGCAAGAAGCTGCATGCATGAACATATGCCAAAATCCTGTGGGAAACCCTGCAGTGTACATGTACATGTTGTATTACCTCTTCTTCCTCTCCCCCTCCAGGCATCATGCCATGAATTCAACTAGTATATTACTCTATGCCCTCACGTCCTTCATTGCTGGACTAGTCTCTACTAATTTCTATAGGAAGATTAATGGAGAGAGCTGGGTCTGGAACATCATCCTTACGTCATCTCTGTTTGCCTGTAAACACCCTCTTCCTCTCTAACTCTCTCTCTCTCTCTTCGTTTTCTTTTTTTTTAATCTTTTCTCTCTCTCTCTCTCTCTCTCTCTCTCTCTCTCTCCAGTTCCTTTCTTCCTTACATGGAGTACAGTTAATTCTGTTGCCTGGTATCATGGCTCCACTCAAGCTCTTCCATTCACTACAATAATACTCATCATGTTCATGTGGCTCATTGGTAAGAGAGAGGAGAGGCATAAGAGTATAATAGCACCCTCTATTCATTTCATTTGTATATGTGCATGTATATATGCATGTAGTTAGATGTACATGTATGTGCATAGGGGTAGGAACAAACTAAAATTTGGGGGGGCTAAGGTATTATTTATTGGCAATCATAGGAGCATGATTTAACAATTGATCATTGTACTGACATTAATATTGTCCAAAATATTGGCGTCTATGCTCATTAAATGTAACAAATTCCTTTGCAATGTCCTCGATGTATAAATTGTCTGTAAATTCTTTATGTGCATGTATGCAAAATAACTACATGATTAAGACGCTCTTGTGACATTGTGGAGTGCAAATAATTTTTTAATCTCCTTAATGTTGAAAATCTACGCTCAGCTGAAGCTAATGTTAACAGAGTTGTTAAATAAAGTAGAAGCTTGTGTATTTCTGAAAAAAACTAGTGTGTGTTCTTAGAAGTTAAGCTAGACTGTATTAATTGTTTTATGAAATGAATCATCACACAATATGCACACATATAAGGATTACCTAAACTAAAGTCTATAGTGTTGATAATAGTAATACATGTATATCACTTAAAGTTGGAGGGGCTAAGCCCCCCTTCAATGAAAGTTGGGGGGGCTTAAGCCCCTCCTGCCCCCCCTGTTCCTACCCCTATGTGTATGTGTGTACATGTCTATAGTAGCTTTGTCCATCATACATGTACATGAACATGTATTACGCTATTACAGCATGTAGGATTGTAGGAAATTGGTTTATAGTCAGTGAGGATCTGCCATTAATGGTTTCAAATGTTACTATTATTGTCTTTGATGTGAACACTGAGAGTGAAGAGTCCTGATTAATTGCTTACCCTTTAATGTCTCTCTCTTCCCCCTCCCTCCCTCCCTTCCCCTTCTCTCTCTCCAGTCGGGTTTCCTCTCACCATTCTTGGTGGTATACTTGGTAAGAATGTCAGTGGAGGTTTCGATGCTCCTTGTCGCTCAAAGAACATAGCAAGGGAGATCCCTCCCTCTCCCTGGTATCATAGCACTCTGGTCCACATGGCCGTGGGAGGGTTCCTACCATTCAGGTACACTGTACACTAGTGGTACATGTACATGTACGTTATAGATAAACTACACATGTTGAGGGTCACTGGATATACATGAGGAGGTTAGTTGATTAGAAGCCGAGGCAGAGCAGAGGCTTCTAATAAACTAACATCCGAGTGTATACCGTAATTTGCCTTTTTTTCGTTGTGGAAATATTTTCGTATGGTCTTAAAATGACGAAAATATTTGAATCGAAAATTTTTGAGCAACCAAAATTTGGGACTTAATTTATCAAAGAAAGGCTGAGGTACGGCCTGGAGAGTTGGTCCAGGTCAAGAAGCTCATATCTCACGAACTATAAATACTACTATAGCGGCCTTGTTACCAGTAGGTAAAGGACAAGGTATATGCAAGATAGGCTAAATTTTCATACTGTAAAAATTTTCGTACGCTATGAAAAGACAAAAATAATTCCACTTGAATTTTTTTGAAACAAAAAATTTTTGTATGAAAAAAAGGCAAATTACGGTATTCAGTAACACGAAACAGCTGTAGTTTATCTGGTTTGTACTACAGTGTGTGGGTGTATGAAGGGCACTGTCGTTTAACTACCAGAATTGGCTGTCTAACTACCAGAATTGGCTGACACTTCTAACTATCCCTGCTATGCTGTGGTCTCCACTATATAAACTCGTGGCGGTACCTTTGATACACCCACATACTGTAATACAAAATAATGTTGATGGATGTTTATGTGTACAGAACAGATCGATGCACAATCTATACATGTACAGTTTCTGTTATAATAAGGATGTTATATGTAAATGTACATGCACAATGTATTGTATATGCCCAATGCGTATTGTATCATAATAAAGATGTTTATGTACATGTACATGCATAGTATATGTACTTTGTACACATCTGTTCCTCTTTCTCTCTCTCTCTCTCTAGTTCAATCAGTGTTGAATTGTACTACATCTTTGCTACCGTTTGGGGCCGTGAGGTGTACACTCTCTACGGGATCGTATTCATCGTTTTCCTTATTCTAATTAGTGTCACAGCCTGCATATCCGTTGCGCTGACGTACTTTAGACTATCCGCCGAGGACTATCGCTGGTGGTGGCACTCAATCCTTACAGCTGGGTGTGTTTTAAATTTAAACTTAAATGAATTGCATGCGTACATTAGGAGTTATTATTTTTATGACTTAATTACTTTTGACACTTTATCTCTCTCTCTCTCCCTTTTTTTCTCTTTTTTAGTTCAACTGGATTATTTGTTTTTGCGTATGCTTTTTTCTATTACTACAAGAGGTCACATATGTACGGAACCCTTCAAACAGTCGAATATTTTGGTTACACTATCTTAATCTGCTACGTTTTCTTTCTCATGCTCAGCACCGTCTCCTTCTTTGCTTCCCTCACTTTCGTTCGCTACATGTACCGCAATCTCAAGGCTGACTGAGTCCAGGGGGATATAGCACAACTTAAATATTATTATTATTATTATTATTATTATTATTATTATTATTATTTAACAACTTTGTTGTGGAGGAGGAACAGAAAAGATGGGGGAGAGAGAGAGAGGGGTATATTGTTATTATTATTATTAGTGATTTATTTCATTCTTATAAACAGATTTAATTTGAAGTTTATCGGAAAGACTACATCATCATGTAGTCATGTACTGTACATACAGATGCTACTACTATTATCTCACCTTACTGGTAGCTGTACACTGTATGTTTCACTGCATAAGAGTGGCAACTAACATCATGAGTTAGGAATTTTGATTGATGTTTAAAAATATATTGTTGTCTACTTGTCTTTTATGTGCATTCCTTTCGCTGATTTGCAATTATAATGTAGTTTGTAGATCTATTTACAATACTAAAAATTATTTTGTCTAGACAAAGAGTAAAGTTATTGAAACAAGTGTACTGTTTATGGCTTCTCTCTTCCTGTTTCTTTCTTACTAGATCTAGCTCTACTCTCTAAGTTGGGTTTCGTCTCTGTATTTTTGGTGGAAATATTCAATTTCAAAGTTCCACCTACCTTGGAATTGTGGCCACCGGCAATACACTGAATACAGAGTGAGTGACGCGGCCCATCTTCTCCAAAAATGGCACGACTTTTTCTCGCTCTTTGTATCGTTATTTACTCACTGTCAGCTCTTTTAGTATCAGCTCAAGACTGTCCTTTACCAACCAAAGCTGAGATAGAGTCTGTATTGCCTCCTTTACTAGTCATTTCTGATGGTGACCAGGTGTACTCTCCTACTGTAACTGAAGGATCAGTTCAATATGTCTGTCAAGCTCAAGGGAGCATGATTGATACTTATCAAGCCATAGCTCTTATAGCTACATTCACTCCTAACCCAGGAGAAGCTGAACAAACCAGCATATTTGATATTGAGTGTATCAGTGGTACATGGAGTGGAAGGACTGGTAGTTTAGATCCTCCTCCTGCCAGTGTTGTTAATGTTCCTCCAAGAACTGATTGTTATCGGTGTAGGGAAGGTTTTGGTGGTGATACTAGATGTAGAGGTAAGCCAATTATACCAATATAAAAATAACTGATTTGTTTATTTTATTTAGCATGTGACTCTGCTTGTAGTTCTGGACTGATAAGGTGTACTGGATCAGGCTCTGGTGATTGTTGTTTATCATTTACTGCTAATGGTCAGTGTAGTGATACTGTTTCCTGTTCATCCTCTGGTATAAATTTCATTGCCAATGA